AAAAAAAATACAGATAACTGATTCATTTAATATTTTAAAAATATTATTTTGTAAGCTTTGGAAACACTGAGGAGTTCATATGAGTCTGTTTTATCCAAACAAAGTATTTTCAATTTTTTGGTAACATCTTGGCATACAGTTTGTGTTCATCTGTTCACTTACGAGTGTGCCTTTCCTTACGTGCCTCACGAAGCGATGTGAATCTAATTTCCTTTTATGTTACTAGCTTTGAAGTTCCGTACTTCTTATATGATGGTGTAAGTCAACATTTGAAGTTAATTCCTGGCAGCCATGTGAAAATGTTAGTAGTTTAGTGGAATGCTGCATGAAAATTTTGCAACATGACCTGCTCTTTGTACATACAGGACAAAAATCAAACCAGGAAGCTGGGTGTGTGGCAGCCCCTACTACAAACAGACCCATTGTTTGGAATCAGTATTCTTCATGTGTGTCCAGAATTGTTATTTAAATTTGGCTAAGTCAGGCATAGACTATCCCGTAAATCATAGAATTCTCAGAAAGTCTTCAGCTGTCTTTCAGTAACATGTCTTCCTTACATGTTTACTAACTGGAGGTGTGGGAGCTTAAGAATGCGTGTAGTAGAGTGAGCTGACATCCATTCCGACATACACGAGGAGCTGTAGTGGTAAAGTGGATATTTTCACAAGACGGTGACTTTCCAAGGAAAGTAAAAATTGAGCTTCATTAATTTATTCCTGTTGCAATTGAATGTTTAGTAACAGCATTCATACTTTATGGAAAATAGTTTTTGGTTATTTTTTTGAAATTGTGATTTGGGTGAAAGTTTACAAAGCAAATTCACTTTCCATATAGCAGCTCACATATACTCTGTCTCATGACATTGACTGAAATTTACCATGATGCAACAGCCCCCCCTACTCCTTCCTACCCATAGTCACCTCTTCCCTGTGTCCTTCCCTCCATGCACTCCTGTCCCCTGAGCTGTCTCCCTGTACATACACTGCCCTTCTGTTCTCCCATGATTATTCTCTCCAAGGAATGTATCTACCTAATGTAAATGTTCACCTCATATGCTTGTCTTTTGTTTGATTGAAAGCCACAGGAGCAGGTTCAATTCAAGACCTGAAGGGCAGCTAGGGACTATAGTCTCAGTGGTTCCACCAGGTTCTATCAGACCAGCAAACCTGGTG